CATAGATGAAGTTAAGCTGAAAATTCATCACATTCTTAGAAAATCTTTCTTTCAATAAAAGTAGACTACTAAAATGTCTTTTACTCACAGGTACACGCCAGTAAGAATCCAAATGGAAAACTGATTCCAACACTTCAAGATCATTAGGCAAAGCATCGGTGATGATGTAAACTGGTGATTTGTAGGTAAGATATCGTTGCAATGCAGCTCTGAAATTTGGGTAGTTTTAGTCGATTCGGGGGATACATAGGAAGGTAGGTTCTTTCTTTTGGTGACATTTTTTAATGTGGTCTCTCTTTTTTCCTTTAAAATTGATTCCTTTGGGGAACAAAGATATCAGAAACGTCAACAACTCCAAATTGTAGAAAGAAAGTACAAGCCTTGCTTTTTAAAAAAATTATTTAGATTTCTCTAATATATCTGCATATCTACAGTCTTGAGGGACACCATGAAATGCCCCTCAAGACTGTAGATATGCAGATATATTGGGTTCTCTAAGGGCTGAAAAGTTATTTTCTTACACGAGGAGCCTTTGTGAAGCATACATTTGATACATTACTTTCTCATACCTCCCTAGATAAAGCGACGGCGAGCGCAACTATGATGGAAATAATAGATTTTTCATAGTCTATCAAATCTTCTCTCGGAGCAACAGAAGCTGAGCCAGAATTTTTTGTTTATATTACAATTCAGTGCATTTGTTTATCTACATGCATTACTTCTCTGCTAGAGCTTTGATACATTTTAGAGTTGAAGGAAAATTGCGAATATTTTCTCTGTTACAGGAATAGCTTGGTAAGGCACTTCTGCTATTGCAGTGGTTCGTTATTCAATGAGTGGTTAAAAATTATTTGAATCACAATTTTGGGTTTTTTTTCCAAATCTCCACATTTCGCTTACGCAGGGTATGCTATATGAGTCAACTGTCTTTACAATTCTCATTTCAAGATATACTATTCATCTTCTAAGCTCTCCAAGTTGGCTCCGATTCTGTCCTTCCACCGTA